TGCTATTGGCATGCGGACAGGAGCAGACAGTCTGGGGAGGACACACAGAACCTGACATAGTTAGCGTTCTCATCCAAGCTCCCAGAGGAATCCTTGCTTAATAACAGATTATTAATGGACCAGTCAGTTGAATTGAGGCAGTCTTAAGGTCTGGATTCATGTTCACGTGTCCAGTACTATACATCCCTTGTCACTGATTGGGTGCACTTCAGTTCCTGCTTGCAGGTAGGAAGCAGAAGTACTGACTAGCGCTCAGACATGCCAAAGTGCGAATGTGTGATGAATTTGTAGGCACCTTTGAATCAGGTGAAGCAGAGATTGAGGGTCCAGTTGCCCCTGGTGGGGCAGGTGACATGTTGGCAGTATTTTGGGAGGATTTTCCTTAGGGTGCTGCGGTTGAAGTCTGAAGACAGATCGCTTCTGGGTGCTGGTTCTCATTTCCCAATGGCGGCGTACAGATCGTCCAGCACAGTCGCAGCTGCAGCCTCCGGCGGGATGTAAACAGCAGTGAGCAGCATCGAGGAAAACTCTCAGTAGGTAGAATGGAGGCACTTGAAACCGTTTCTGCATAGGGGCACCAGTTGTTGTTGATAAAGAAGCAGACAGCGCCTCCCTTTGTCTTGCCTGTCTGTGGTGCGGTCTGAGCGGTATATGGTGAAGCCCCGTGGACGTATGGCACTAGAGTGTTAAAGCAGAACACACTGCAGTCCCAAAGGTCCCTTTGAGAGCTGATATGGCAGTGTAGCTTGTCCGGCTTGTTCCCCAGAGGCATGAGGGTTGGCTGAGAGGACAGTAGATGTGGGAGGACAGGATGAACGCTGTCACAGCCTGGTTGGCATGCTGCCTCACAGCCCCCTCCACCAATGGGTCTAGTTTGATTGTAGCGTTTTGAACAGTTTCTTCAGGTGAATCAGGAATGAAAAGGTTTGCTGGAATATTATGCCTCAAGTATGGCAGTGATAGACAATAAAATGGCAAGCTACACATATAAAAATGCTAGAAAGTAGGGGGAGAGCATCTTGTAGTGTGTCGCCAGAGGAGGGCGCCATCCTGGGAGAATATATATCTGAATATTATTAAAAGTGAATCTTTTTATTTACTAACATATTACTAAATGATTATGGTTAAGGAGTCGACCTTAAACTAAAGTGTTACCAGTTTTTCTTACCATTGTCATTGTCTGGAATCTGACGTAGATACAGGAGACTTAATATTGGGTGCAGTGAGAATAAAATCCCCAAAAGGATTTTCTGAGCCAGATCTAAAAAAAACATCAAAATGTGAAAAACAACAGATTAAATACATACAACATAAACCGGTCTTCGTTAAATATTTTCATTTTCTCTTCATTTTTTGCTAAGACATCCTTTAGTCTGGATCTTAGAGGAGGTGGACAAAATAATGGAAATACCAGTATAAAGGCCCTAATAAGCAGCAGCCCCCCACCCCTTTAGCTCCATAACAGCTCTGCTCCTTCTTGGACACCCCCTGACCTGTGTGCAGTGGGATACTGGGCCATTCAGAAAGAAAAGTCTCCAGTTCTTTGGAGCATTAAGGTGGGAATCGACTTCCCATAAAGCTTTAATGCCTGCATTCAGGCAGAAGGTTCCGTGTCATTATGGCCAAGACAGAGAGACTCAGGAGGAGTTTCTATCCCCAGGCGATTTGACTCCTCAATCAAGACATGCCACTCTCCCGGTCATAGTGCTATGGTTATTATTTCAACCTTACACTGCTGTGCTGACACTGCATTTTAAACTGGCTACAAGCATTTTTTGCACAGTATTTCATTTCATCCTGTACATTTTATATACTCTCTTTGTAAACTCATAGGTCATTTTTCTTTTTTCTGTTTTGTACTCTCTATAATTTATCTACAGTCTATTTTACAATTTAATTTCTAGTTTCTTTGTTATTTGCACAAAGTATGAGCGGTTCAGCATACATTTGCAACACTGCATGTTGTACCTATATAACTATGTATGTGACAAATAAAGAATCTTGAATCTTTAATGGTGTTTAGATCTGGTGGCTGGGAGGCCAAGGAAGGCATCTGACTTCATCCTGGTGCTCATGAAACCTCTCCTGAAT